AGGCTTTGCAAGTATTTATAAAAATAACAGTTTGGCCTCAGTCTTCCCTGAAGTGAAACCTCCTGGTCGGTTAGCCCGAAGCGGGGAGCATTCCCCTGGCCCTGGGCCAAGAGGGATGCTTGTTTTGCTTCCCAAAGCACGAGCTGGGGAGGAGGATGGGGAAGCGGAGAGGCAGGCGAGGAGGCAGAGCAGAGCCTCGGCATGCCTGCACTGCCGGCGGTGGGCTGCGGCAGCGAAGGGTGGGCACCTGGGAGCAAAAAACCCCCCATTTTTCTCTTAAATACCAGATTTGTTTTAGTTATTTTGCTGCCTTAAAGAAAAAAGTGGCCAGGTATTTAGGCCCCAGGCACTCTGCCTTGATTATATTATAATCTTATAGGCAAACCCAAAATAGTAGAGAGATCTGCAATTAGAGAGGCTGCATTAACCGAGGGGAGCACAGGTGGGGGTGTCGCTGAATGCACGGGGTGCTGCGGTACGGATCAGCCTGGATGCGTGCTAAGCCCCTAGCACACCCAATAGTTTGTCTTTTATCCCTGCAAAATTTTCTCCCTTCCCATTAAAAACAGGCTTGTTCCTAAGTTGGCGTGGTGTAGAAGTAAAATGTGTGCCAGCTGCCGGGAGAAATTCCTGGGCTGGGGAATGCTGGGGTCGGTGCTCAGACTCCTGCTGCTCCTGCGAGCTGGTATTTCTTTCAGGGGTTGTAAATCTTGTTTCAAGGCATGAGCCAAACTCCTGACTAATGGCAGTGAGGCGTAAACATTGCCCGTGGGCGAGGGCTCCCGTCTGCCTTCTGCAAAGCGCCCTACGTCCGCCTTGCTGCCCCCCGGTCCTGGTGGGTGTCGGAGGCTCCGGCAGGCGGAGCTTGCGGGGCGGTGAAGGTGTTTCCTGGTCTTCGAGGTGGCCGGGTCCCATCAGCGACGCTTGTGCCAAATTTATTTTTCGATTGCAGGCCCAAGTTCTGCTCATCTTTTGCCCGGCTGGCAGGAAGGGTGGCTGCTCAGCAGCTTGGCGGCTACTGCTGGTGGTTTCTACCCTTCCAAGGAGACTGATTAATGCAGGGGTTTTAATTGTGAACTGAGTCCCGTTTCGGTCACCCATTTCCTGGCTGGAGCAGTCCCAGCCACTCTTCTCATTCCTCTGTGGATCCTTTGTGGACTGACAGCTCTTGTGTCAAGCGAGCATGGATTTGTATACATCACCAGTTTACTTTTGGGTTGGATAATAACCTGCTTTTTAAGCATTTGCAGTAGTTGTGGCAGTCTCCTTTGTATTGCTGCTTCACTGGCTTTCCCTGCGCTCAGCCTGGGAGCCTTAGCAGGGTCGGTGTCAGGTGGCGGTGCAGAAAATTGCATATTCTTTGCATATTCTGGCGTGTGTGACCTTCGTGGTGTAAATTTTAGGGCTCCGCCTCAACCATTTCCTTAGTTGATTATGTTTCAATCAGAGCACTTCAGTTCATCAGAGAAACACAAGATGACCTCTTTCACAGAATCCCAGAATCCCAGCGCAGCCGGGGCAGGGTCTTCCAGGGCTCACCCAGTGCCACCCCCCTGCCCAAGCAGGCTCACCCAGAGCAGGGGGCACAGGACAGCAGCCAGGCGGGGGTTGAAGATCTCCAGAGAAGGAGACTCCACAGCCCCCCTGGGCAGCCTGGGCCAGGGCTCGGCCACCCTCACAGTCAACAAGTTCTTCCTCACGTCCAACTGGAACCTCTTCTGCTTCAGGTTGTGCCCATGGCCCCTTGTCCTGGCGCTGGGCACCACTGGGAAGAGTCTGGCTCCGTCCTCGTGACCCCCACCCTTGAGATATTTGTAGGTGTTGATGAGATCCCCTCTCAGCCTTCTCTTCTCCAGGCTGAACAAGCCCAGCTCCCTCAGCCTTTCCTCGTAGGGGAGATGCTCGAGGTCATCTAGTCCAATTGTTGCTCTTCTCTGGACTCTTTATTTGGAGACACAGCCGGCCTTCCCCAGCATTTAGTCTGAGGTTTTGGGTTGAATTCCCCAAACTCTGCATAGGTTTGAAATCAGAGTTCCGACCATCCCTTGTCAGAAGGTGCCCAGTGCCCCACCTGCCTTGGTACACCCACGTCCGCAGCAGCAACATCCATCCATCCCACCAAACCTCGTTGACAGTATATATTTTTAGTGGAGGCATCAGTTTCCACCATTTTGCTCAAATTTAAAGAATTTGTTCTCACTTTGAGCTGTGAGGAGCTAATGTCATAAATCCTTGTCCATCAAATCAGCCTTGTACCTTAACTGCTGTTTCAGTCCGAGCTCAGATCCCCCCAGATAGTTGCTGGAGGTACGGGAAGAGGCCATGTCCTGGTCCTGGCCTAACTCGACAGCCATTATTCATGCGAAGTCGGTGTTGATGCCACAGAATTTTCAAAGGAAGTTCAAAGAAAGCCTGTGGAAACCTGGCTTTCTGCTCCTGCCTTTCCTTTCATAGAATATTTTGGGCTGGAAGGGACCCCTAGAGGTCATCTAGTCCAACCCCCCTGCAGTGAGCAGGGACACCGCTAACTAGATCAGGTTGCTCATCTGTCCATCCTGGGTTCCTACTTCTCCAGCGTCCTTTATGGGTGACATTTAAGATAAAAGTGTCCTGGGGCTGCCCCGTACTCTCCTGGTTGTTCTGGCGGAGAGTGTGCGTCTGCGAAGCGGCCGCGTACTCGCGTCCTACACACCAGCACGAGCTCCTTTGACATGCAGGCATTTAAGAGGGATAAAAGGTGTGCCTTTATCTTACGTTATTTAGAAGGCTAAAATACAATCAGAAAAACATGGAAATAAAACGGATTATGCAAAAACACCTTAGGATCAAGCCAGTGGCCTTTTAAAGCTAGCAGAGACTTCACCGACCAAAGGAAATACAAAGATGCGTGTTATAAAATTGCTGCTTTTATGTGAGGTTTGGTTGGCAGGTTTGGTTTGGCTGTGTTTAATAGATTTCCTTACTGATAACCCCAAATGCTCTCACCGTGCGCCAGCTCAGCCGGGACACGTCTGTCTGTAGGAAAATCATCCCGACTGGGCATCCATCCATGCACGGTAAAGAAGAAATGATGTCTCTAATCCAGGACTTTTCGTCCCTGCTGAGGTTAAGCGATCCTCTGTGTGTGTAAGGGCGGCACATTTAATTGCTCTTCACTACCATCAGCCTTGGAAACACGGAGAGGTTTGCTCCTCTCCCATGCCTGCCCGTGGAGCAGCGAGGACCCGTCCCCTCTCCCCATGCAGAAGAAACTTATCCCAGTCCTTTACTCAGCCGAGCAGCTGAAGCTGGGAAAACTCGCACGTCAGCCGCCCTGAAATACAGACATCACAGTGACAGTGCAGTGCTCGTTTCCCACCCTCATTAGCTTAGCAGAAAAGGAAGACTAATTAGCCCGTGCTGTGCTCAGTGTGGGTCTGCTGTGTGCGGTTCCTAGGAGCGGAGCCAGGCTCCCTCGCCGGCCTCGCCCTCGGCTGCGCGGCTGGCTGGGGACCCATCCTGCGCGGGTGCAGTGCTGCAGCTCCCATCCAGCCTGCTCCCTCTGCTTTGTGGGGGTCCCGCGTGTGTGTGTGTCCCCCAGTTTCACCCTGCAGATGTTCCCCCTCTTCATTTATGGAGCCTGGCTGGCAGAGCTGCTTTCCTGAGCCCAGCGCAGTGCAGCAGTCGTGGGGCTGCGGGTGCTCAGGGGCTCTCTCTGCACTTCCAAATTTCAAGCAGTATCTGCCAAGCACGTGGGACGGGAAGGGCTACGTTGGGGGTTATGAAAGGGCCTTCCTTTCCCCTTGCCTGTATGAGATGCCTCCATACCCTCCCGGCCCTGTTAATAAAACCAGTCAACATACTGAGCGACCTGGTAGGTCCTGCCGCTCCTCGGGAGGACCACGAGTTGTCATCTTTTATAAAAATGTGCAGGTGTTATTTGAAGCATGCTTCATGACGCCTGCTTGAGTTCCCAGTGCCATGCGTCGTGTGGAAAGTAACTTGACCGCAGGAGACTGCAAGTCACGTTAGCAACGTACAGCCCAACCTCGTTCCTGCAATGTGTGAATAATATTGATGCATAAATAAACGTACACAGCAGATAGGCAGGAGACCGCACGATCAGAAAAGCTGAGGGACCTTTTGTAGTCATTTCCCCCATCGTGTCGGCCTCAGCTTCATTCTCCGCTGATGTTATTTTCGAATGCTTGGTCGATTAAACGTTAGGATGGGATCTGTCTCACCTCTCTTCAGTTTTAAAGTCAGGTATTTGGTCTCAGCTCTCCATACCTCTGCCTGCAATCAGCATAGCAGGGCAGTGAATTACTCAGCCTGTCGTGCCTCTGGAAGCGTAGGCCACTAAAACCTGAATTTAGGTGCTTAATTTTAAGTAGGTAAGTTTTTGAAAACTTTTCACCCACAGTTTTTCTGTGCCTGATTTGTACTTTCTGTGGCAGAGGTGTGAGGATGCGGATGTCCCGAGGATGCCGGGGCGTACTGCTGTGCAGCACCCCCAGTGCCCCGATCAAATGCGGAGTTTCACGTCGGGGGCATGCAATCCTGTTTGTGGGACTGCTCCTGGTCCTGTTCTGCTTCGTCTGCTGGTCCTGTTCTGCTTCGTCTGCTGGTCCTGTTCTGCTTGGTCTGCTTTCAAAGCCTACTTTGTGCTTAATGACAGAAGGCTGAGCATATGTTCAGAAGGGGCATTATTAGGAGCAATTGGTAGCAACCTTGGTAATACTGGGATTTACGGTCTTCCAGTAATCTCTGGTGCCCATCAGGGTTGAGAAGACGCTCCCGAAGGTGGCTGAGGAGTTGAAGCCTTCTGAAAGATTGCGTCTGGCTGATGCCTGTCCGTCTCTGATCGGGGATGGGGCTGGTGGTGGTACCCCACCGGCTAGGAGCCTGGCAGGGGGCCGGTGGTGCCACCCTGCTGCGGGCTCTGGATCCCGCTGAAACGCCATCCAAGGGAGCCATCGTCGCCCGTGATTGCATCTGGGTTTATTGCGAAGGCTGGCGCTATGCCGGCTGTGCCGTCGCTCCCCCAGCCCTGCGGGATGTCGGTGTCGCTGCCCCAGGGCAGTGGCCCTGTGGGCTGGTGGGTGCCAGACCCACGGCTCCGTGTTGGTTTCTGGTGCTCTCTTCTTTCCTGTGACTTGGTGCTGCAAGAATCAACCCGCAAGTCATGCTGGCCATCCCTTAGGAGTTCCCAAAGAGCTGGAAGGGCAGGTGAGGAGCGTGGGGAAGGCCGGGGAGGAGGGAAGCACCAGGGTGAGATTTCCCAAAGCTCTCCGGATGCGTGCCATGCCGTGTTGGCATGGGGCCCAAAATGCAGGTTCCATAGGAATACTTCAAACAAGGCTTCCAGACACTGTCACTTGGTTTTAAAGAGATGCAGAAGCCACGGGCCGGTCTTGCGTTGAAGCACGGGAGCTGACACACCACCCCGATGGAAGCACAGCGGCTCCAGGGAGCACACGGCTCCCGGGGAGGAACTGTCTCCGTCGTGAGCCGGGAGCTTTTGTTGGCAGTGGGAGCTGTGCCAAGGCTTGGAAGGAGAGCTGACCCGGCTGCTTTCAAATCCGCTGTATAAAGCAAGTATATCTGAACTCATACATGTGAATTTGACTTTTTTGTTTGACATTTCTTCCCTGAGGCATTGTCAGCCACGGAAATGCATGGTAGGGACCTGGCCAATAGCATCTTTGAGTTTTTGCAGATAAGGATAATGAAGTGTGAATATGATAAGGATGTACAACTGCTGGGAAGAATATATTTTTCCTTGCCAACTCCAACTAAGGGTAAGGGCTGTTTGTGATCTGGAGCATGAAACTTCCTCTGGGTCTGTCTGTCGGAGAAAACGTGCTTTGCTGCGGGGTCGGTGCTGCTTCTCCCATTGCCAGCAGATCCCGTGAGCTTCCCTGCGGTGGTTTCTTCGAGTCGATGATGGGCTGAGGTGGTCCCAGCCCCGGCACAAGGCAGGTTGCTCGGGGTTCTGGCCTCTGAGGATGGAGGCTGTACAACCTCTCTGGGCAGCCTGTGCCAGTGTTGGATCATCCCTATCACATAAAACATTTTGGGGGTTCTTTTTTAATGTTTAAGGGGAATTTGAGGTGTTTCAGCCTGTGCCCATTGCTTCTCGTCCCGACGCCAGGTTGGGGGCAGGTTGCTGGCGGTGGTGGTGCTGGTGTGGGATTAATTCTGCTGGTCATCTCGGTCATAATGCTGGCCGAGAGCTTTTGCCTGCATGCAGGCTCGTTTTCATTCAGTGCCATGCTCTGCTCCAGCGTGAGCCCATGAGCTGTTTAACCTAATTACCATCCCAGGGACGGCCTGAGCTCCCGGCGTGGGAAGCCGAGGAAAGCTGGAGCTCGATTTAACAAAGATATCTTCATTTCAGCACTTCTGAAGAGCTCTGACTGCGGTGCGTGCCCAAGTGACTTAGACATTTAAAAAACCAGACTTTCACTCGTGCGTGATGATGCCCTCGCACGTAAGTGCCACTTGGGGTGTGTAGCAGGCTGTACGGGTAATAAATAAAGGTGCCTCCGGGGGAAGGAATTACGCAGCGTGCAGCAGGGGCTAAAATGTTAACACAAAAGAGTCTCTTTATAAATAGCTGTTTTCAGCTGTTTCTCTCTTTCGGTATTTTTAGGCTCAAATCCATTCAGTTTACTGATTTTGCTGACAGCCAACCCAGCTCCTTCTGCCTGGGATCTGCAAGTCAAGGTCCTTTGGTTATTTAGTGGAAGACTGTGAAACATAATCGAACCCGGCTGCCTCCTCCGTAACCATCCTGACTTTAAGTAATTAAGAGGCAGTTTACAGTCAGCAATTAAGGACAGCAACTCTGGCTTGAGGAAGCCAAGGGAGAGCAGGTATGCGGAGTAACTTTTCCCATTTCTCTGCCATGGGCTGCAGTGAAGCCCAGGGTGCTGCTGAGCCTTCCTGCCCAGGTCTTCCACGTGACAGTGCCGTCCCTGCTCCCTGCCAGTATTTCAGACAAAGTTAGGAAATGTGCTCGAGCTCTTTTAAAACCCGAGGTTTCTCCATTCGGTAGCCAGGTTCACGGACCGATAGTCCCAAACCCACGCAACCTCCTCATGCGGAGCGCAGCTTTTTAACCGCTCGTGGAGCGCCCGGAGGCTTGCTCGCTGCTCTGTACGAATCGGGCTGTTAAATGGTGACAGCCAGGTTGGCTTGAGGTCTCTGCTGGTAGACCTCATCCTGGCAGCACTGCATTGATTGCAGGGCTGATTTAGGGAGGGAATGCCGGTTACGTCTTGGAGATGAAGGTGGGAGAGGCATTACGCTGGGTTTGCCTGACTCGTTTGAAGAGGGCTGGTGCTGCGTAGCGATCGCAGCTGTGTGACTGCTGCACAGAAGCAGCAGGCGAGTAGATCTGCTGAGAAGATGGGAAGTTGTTTGGCTAGGAGTAGTGATTTTGCTGAGTCTGTGTGCTTGGGTGTGTATTGCACAGGCAAGCACATACCTACGGACCAGGGAGAACTCGCAGACCCCCCAAGTCCCTTTTGCAAAAAAGCAATAACGCAGATACCTTGGCAGCTTGCAGGGTGTGCGGGTCTGTGGCCCCTCTCTGCTTAGGGTCACTGCTGGAGTAAGGCCCTGTCCTAAAGGGAAGGTTGGATTCAGGCAAGGACGTTGGACGTTACTTGCTGTCAAGCAGCATCTGACGATGCTAGCTGTGCCCACGTGCATCCGTAAATCCCCGCCGGCGTTCTGCTTCGCCCTGCCCCGGCAGCTCCTCCTGGGCGCCGTTGAACTTGTGAGGGTTCACGTACTGCTGTGGTCACTGCTTAAATAACTCCAGACCCTTGTATAAAGGAAACGGGCAGCGCTCTTGCTTTTCCAGCAGCTTCCTGAGCCAGCCTGGCAGGGCAGCACTTTGATGAGAGAGCAAGCGGGCAGGAGGCGGCTGCCCCCTCCCTGGGCCGGGGCGCAGCGAGGGCGGGCAGCCCCTCGCCCTCCTTGCCTTGCTATCCTCCGGCTTAGAGACGCAGACAAACCTCTGCCAGCAGCCCTTCTTGTTAATGGGGGTTAATCAGAAGAGCATTACTGCTTAATTTGGGGCTCTTAAAGAGCAGCAGAGCCTTCTGGAAAGGCATTAGATAGCTTAACCTCCTTTTTTTTTCCCCCTTCCTCTTCTTTTGTTGATGTTTACAGCGTCAAGGTCATAAAAAGAGAATTACAGGAGGAGCGTTGTGTGCTCTGAGCTTTCTTTTACAGGGGCGAGGTATTTGCCATTTGCCTGAGAGTTTTCCCAGGAAAGTCGGTCTCGTTCTCCCAGGACGTTGTGCCTGGATGGATGCACCTCCCGCTCGCTGTTACCTGATTTAATTTTTCACTGCAGTGACAAAGCGTGAAGGGCTTATAACGCAGCGGGTTGGATTTTCAGCCAGCGTGAATGGATGCCGTCCCCTTGCCGGAGCCAGGAGCCTGGAGGAGCAGAGCCATAGCGCTTGCTGGGAGCTGGCAGGGAGAGAGCTTTTCCAGGTGCTGGTGGGAGCTGGTGACATTTCCATGTGCTGCAGGGAGCCCAGGCAAAGCCTACCTACGGCTCCATCCTCCCGAAGGAAGGCGGTTGGTTTGTACCACGGCTGGGGTGGTGGGTGCTGGCGTTTGCCGAGCACTGAGCCTCTGCACCCAGGGTGCGTGGCAGCCACGCTGCCTCCCTGCGCCGCGGCGCTGGGGCGGGGAGAAGGACCGCGGAATCCCCATCCCTCTGATCGGAGCCTGGGCCTTACAGCATCTTCCCTGGCAAATGGAAAATATTCTGATTAACTCAGAGAGAGAGGTTTACGGTTGAGTAGCAGGCAGCTTCCAAAGCATAAGCTAGACAGTGATAAAATGGTATCCATCCTTCCGATATCAGTATGACCTGAGTTTTGTGAACAGCCGTGGATTCGCTCCATCTCTTTGGCAGGGAGAGAGGGATTTTAGGAGGATTCAAAGGTTTGGTCACCTAAACGTAGCGTCTTTTTAAGCACTGTGGGTAACCTGCTTGGCTTCCAGCTCCCGCTCCACAGGTGCACAGTGAGTCCTGCTCCCTACCTGCCCACCCCAGGCTGGTGCCCTGGGACCTCCGGGGTGTCCCTAACAGGCATCCTCAAAGAGACACCGGTATTTAGGCGATTGAAGCCTGCCCTGACAGCCAGCAGGCATCCTTGGTGTGCTCCAGGCAGGAGATGTAAGCGTGCGGCGTCGCAGCGTAACGCTCTGTCACGTTCCCGGTTGCTCTGCAGTTTATAAACATTCATCAAAGGGATTTTTGATGAAATACAGGTTTCCTCTGTTTACAGTCTTCATGCACCGGGAAAATCACGAGGTGGATATCTTGGAGGGTGAGCAGGTGAAGAATCTCTAAGATGAAAAGATTAAATTAGAAACATATTTGTGGATAAACAAAGGCCGTTGTACTACACGTGTTATCACCAGGTGAGAAATCCTGTGGGAACCAGCAGTAAAGACGACCCCGGGAGCGCGACTGGAGCTAGAGAGAAATCCGGCAGCTGGCACGTTGGAGTCAGCCCTTTGGGCACTGGCTTTGCTCCTTGTGTCCTGGCGCATCCTGTCGATGAGGGATCGGATGATAACTTCCAGCCTGCCATGAAGAATGAAGCTACGAACAGGAAAAACAAAAAAAGAAATGTGTGCCTTGCAGTGGGCGTGCCGTGGGTTTGTGTACAGCGCCTGCACGGAGTTAAGCCCCGATTCAATACACGAAGCAGGTTTGGCTATTTGTACGCAGCATGTATGAAGGATAAAGCCGCATTTCTGTGGGTAGGTATCAGTGTATGGGCGGCACAGATGGGAATTTTCCAGGAATTTGGTATTCATCTTCTCACAGAGATTAAAAATAGCATCCAGAATCGCCTCATCGTTTTTCCAACAGGGGCATTTTGAGCAAGTGACTTTAATGCGCAAGTCTGCATTAGCACCGCGTCCTTCGGCTCGCGTCTGAGCGCGGCGTTGGGTAACGTGTGCTGTGGGTGCCTGGCTGACTTACTGTCAGTTAGAAGGGAATTAGAAACCATGCGAGGAAAGCCGAGGTCTGTGAAGTGTCAGTGACTGGTGCGCGCTGGAAGCCTCGGCGGGCTGGTCGTAAGCATTAGCCCCCAAAACGCAGTGAGGGCTTTATTTGGAAAAAGTAACCTAGTAGAAGCTTTTATGGGAAAGTTCAGACATTTATTGGTCTAGCATCTACCTTTAGGACCGGTTTTGGGATGGCTGCAGTAAAAACTCTTTAAAGAATAAGCAAAGCGTGTTTCCCGAAGTGGAGCTTTTCCAAGGAGGGTTTTGTCCCACGCCCGGGAGCTCAGCAGGGTTTCCCCAAGGCTGCGACCCTCTCGGTAGCGCACGGCCAGCTCGGCGTGCCTGGCTACGGGTCTTTGATCCCAGATTTTGGGGAGGAGAACAAATGAAGCACCGTTGGTACCAGGGGTGGGGGCAGCCGTGTCCACGCTGGTCCTTAATGCTGCTTATGTTGAGAGGAGCATCCCGAGGCTGCGGGGTTAAACCCGTGTGGGATGAGTGGGGAAAGCTTATGTTTATAAAAATTAATTTACTTAACTAAAGAGCTGGTGGCTTTGTAGCATCTTGGGTCACTATGTGAACTCCGCTTGCCTGCTATGGGAGCTATTAGCGTGGCAGTAAATACTCGTAGAAAAAAAATGATGGAGACGGATGGGCACGTGTCCGAATTCCCAACGCCCCTTCGGTTGGTTTAGAACAAAATAACGCGTACTGTGCCCGGGTCGCAGTCGTGAGTTCTGGTTGTGTGAGAGGCGGGGGAGCATCATCGCAGCGCTGTTGTGGTGGCATTTAGGATGGCGTTGCCCGTGCCCTCGTGCGAGGAGCCGTGCACCGTAGGTCTGCATTTCAGCAAGCCCGTGCGCAGCGCTTGAGGCCGTTTCCCCGCTTGCAGCAACTCTTCATTTATATTTCATGCCAAGTTGTCTGGCGGGGCGTGCGCACTACATGAACACTAATGTATTGTTCGGTTTGACATCTGTAGTGCTGTAAAATGTCTGTCTCGAGCAGGGAGGATGAGGAGGAGGGAGCAGGAGCTTGCCGGCGGGGGCTACCCAGGCGAGACGCGTGGCCACGTTCAGGATTAGGACCCAGCAAGGGCAGCCGGTGCCCATCAAGGACGGGTTTCCTAGGACAGGAACAGAGGGAGCACAGACAGAGGTGTTTGCTCAGTGGCCACGTCTGATCCTTCAGTCCTATCCCGGTGCCTCATACTTGGCAAATACTTGGAGCCTAACACTTGAACCCTGAAAGGCTGTGGAAAAAAAAAACCCAACAACTTCAGGAAGGATACATGAGAATGGGACTGGTGAAACAGCAGTTATCGGGGCTGGTAGTTTGAAGATGCATAATTTTTAGGCACTTAAAATAATTCACGTGATGGGCATGTGTGTATGTGTGTGCTTCTGTGTCAGGCGTTTTTCCTGACTCTTTTCCTGACTCAACCCAGGCAGGCGTAATGTAAGGAGCCTTAGGGGTCAGCTATAACACTGTTAAAGACACGGCAGCCTTGCCGTACGAAGTATTTCTCATTATGGCTAGAAAGTCACACATCTGTGGTTTGCTTTGGCTTCCCGTACGCCGCCTCTGCTGGGTTGCAGCGGTGCCTGCAGTAGTTAGACCTGTAAATATTTCCAGTGTAAACCAAAGTTTATAGCTTACCTTTAAAAATTCACTTGGGGTTGAAGCTTGGCCTTTTCCTGTGTTTACATTTTTACGTGTAACAAACTTTCAGATAAGTGGCTTTCACTTTTCGTCAGGTACTCGAATGCAGAAAAGAGGGACGCGAACAATTTGCAATTTTTTAAAACCTGCTTATCACGTATCTGCTCCCCTCTGGGCAGCACGGAGCAAGCTGCCGAGACCTGCACCCACTGGGAAGCTGGGGGGCCTGTCAGGCCGAGAAGGGAGCCTGGCTACCTACGGGAAAAATTAAAAATAAGCACTAAAGGCGACTTTTGCTTAAGTGAACTCTTGAGCACCTGGTCAGTGAGTTCACGTCTGCTCCAGAAGCAGAGGAGTTTTGTCTGGGACGTGGTTTTGTGAGGAGGCCTCGTGCTGACATCCGTCGGAGACATAAAACCTGGGACTGGGACGGGGGCCAGGCTTTTTATCCCTGAGTTCATTTATTTTTCTTGGTTTATTCAGCCCTTAATATTATTCAAATGAAGATTTTGTCTCTAGCCCAACATAAATCAGGGAAGCTGCCAACCTGCACGGTTTGTGTCCTAGGACTAAAACGCGGTGGCCGCGCGGGTTTCATTTGCTTTTAGTTTTTATTTGTTGTCAGTTTTAAATGCCTGTCGACTTAAGCAGGAGCCGAAGGCTGGGCTGGGACAGGCAAGCAGCCCCTCTGCCGCGCTCGTGGGTGCCCGTGCGAGGGGTGCGGGGCGAGCGTGCGTCCCCTTGTCCCAGCCTGCGGGCGATGGTCGAAGTGGAGGAGATGGATGCGACCGGCCGGCCGGCCGCCCTCCGTGCAAAATAGTCTGTTCTCATGTTCTAAGTGGAATTTCTTGTATTTCAGCTTGGGCCCACCATCTGCATCGCTGTATTTTTATTCTGGTTTTGGGGTCTTTTACGCATATGTTTGTGGGCTGATGGTGTTTGGATTTTGCCTTGTGTTTTCCCGTGGGCGCTTTAAAATGGAATAGTTCAAATATCAGTAGGCATCGGCATAAGGAACTCACTCTGAGTAAATTACATGTATTTATATCCCTATGTATATAGGGGGAAAGGTGCGTTCATGTA